ACTGTTGCAATTTTTCGTTGGGTTCGATCGTTGCACACAATTTTGAAGTGCTGATGAAATTAACAATTTGAGCTAGGTGATCAAGCTCTTTAGTTTTTTTTTTTTTTTTTTTTTTTTATCTTTGGTTAATGGGACAGTTTGATATGTGTTGGTCGGTGACCGTTTGATACCATGTGACAGATCAGTTATAGAAAAATTTGAAATATGAATAATATATATATATATATATATATATAGTTTTATTATATCTCTAACATATTTAATTATATTATCTCTAACGAAAACTTTAAAAACTGGTTTGGAGCTGTTTAAAATAAACTCATCATACAAATTCAGGTTATTTTGCAATTAGTTTTAACTTGAATTTGTTTTGTTTTAAATTCATTTAAAACCAATTTTTACCTAATATAATCTAATTTTAAATTTATTTAATCTCAAAAACTTACATTGCTTATTGATCATTAAATAAATGGTTGGTCCGTACAATTATATTTTACTCAATAATTATCCTTAAATTTAATTGAAGGAGAAAAATAGGAAAAATGAAAAAGAAGAGAGCATGGAAAAAGTTGGTCTAGAAAAAAAAAATCAACTTTATTATGTTTTTTAAGAATTTTTTTTTTCACAAAATTCATTTTAAAAAATTTAGATAATTACTAAACAATTTGGACCTGGGTTCTGTGGAGTTCAAGAAGAAACTGCACTCATCATGCAGTTTTCAACCGTCAATTTTTATTGAGCTATGTTTACAATTTTTTTTTTTTTTGGACTATATAATAAAACATGTTCCATACATTGTTTTTAAAAACTATAGGTGATCTCAATTATTACTTTTTAGAAGTTCCAAGCATTATCAATAACTGCATTTTAATTTGACCTAAATTTTGTCCTGACTATACTCATTTTGAGTTGGCCCGGTTGCAATGTTGGTAAACTCAGTCAGTTTCAATTTGCTTACTTCTAGATTGAGTTGGTTCACATATTCATATTTCATTGATCAAATACTTAAAAAGTTCCATCAAATGACTACTTGGTACCTGTAAACGACTAATGTAATACACATTTTGCACATGCCAGGTATATATATTAGATCAAATGAGATGTGATAATTAAATACTACATTTAAGGCATACAGAAAATGAAAGTATAAGCGCAAGGCCTTTAAACCATAATGTATATATCACTTTTAGTGTTTGTATCTCTATGAAATAAAGTATAAGCGTATATACATTATTATTATTTTATGGCCAGGTACATGCATGTGATATTATGAAACTAATTAAGATATTTATTCATAAAGCAAGGGTTATTTTATGGCCGAACTACTCGATAGTTGAGCATTTTGTTAAAGAATAATATAAATCATTAAATTAAAAAAGTCTTCACTCTACAATTTAAATTTTTGGGTTAAATTGATTCTTTAAATAATTTCAGAGCTTCAACAATTATAAGGTTACTAGTTCAATCCTTATCACCCTCACTTTCTAGTGGAATTAAATAAACACAAGATAAAACTAAAAAATTGGGCTTGTGCAATATCTTCCCTTCAAGTTCTGAATGCTGTTGCGTGAGTGGATGTGTTAAAGAATAATATAAATCATTAAAAAGATCCTCACCTAACAGCTTAAGCTTTTTGGTTGAATTGATTCTTTATGCATTTAAAATTCCATCTTGCATGTACAAAGTTTAAAATTCAGAATAATATTAGATTGATGAAAAGAGAATAGACAATAACTTCTATTGTATGGTCTTAGTATACTAATAAATATAAAATATTATGTCTATTTTTTTTTCTTGCATATTTTACCTATTTCTCTCTGTTAAATTCAATCTCAGTTACATATAAGTATCATATTCCACTGTTCAAATTAACCTCCATATTATCATTGTCTAAAAAAGTACAAGTAAAAAAATAGTAAAACACCACAAACCAGTAAATTTGAGTGTAAGCTGTTACAGGAATTTTAGTTTAAATATCATTAGTCATAAATTAATTTCTATTATTAAAACTTAACAATGCCTTAATTGAAAAACAACATTGCTAAGCACATGTAATTTTAAAAGTAACAGTATGAAGGATTTTCTCTATTGAGATTAGTTTAGGTTGATTAAGTGAAGATTATGATAGGAATCCTAAGTTAAGTATTTTAGTGAGGACAAAAAGTGGTTTGTTTTTCTACTTACCTGTTTAATTTTTTTTATAAAAATTGTACTCCAGAAATAACAAAATGCCACCACAAAATCTAAATTGATAACTTTTTTTTTTTTTTATCATCTTAATCGTTGCATAACAATCAGAATAGAAAGGACAGAAATGAACACGACACATCATGAAACCTTTTAACTATTTAGGTTTGAAGAAACTTGAAAACAATTAACAAATTGTATCATTTTTTTTTTCAGCACCTATAATAAAACCAAATATTATTTAACTTTTCTAGGTACATATGTAGCAGAAGCCAAATCAAGAATAGAGAGAGAAAGAGAAAGTAGAGAGATAATCACTTCCCCGTGAGAAAAGCTTGGAGGCATCCAAAGAAGGAACCCAAAAGCTGTAACATGTTTTTGACACTTAGCTTCGCTAGTTGCTATGCATTTGTGTCTCAATCAGCAATTGAGATTCCTTGCCAGCATTCAACTAAACCACACTGATGCCAATGCATCACCATCTCTTTCATCAGAGTATCACGTTCCCATGCAGAAGAATGTTTGTTTTCACAAACTTATATATATAATGCTCCCTTATTACTGACCCCACACGCTTATGATGCAACCATCCATGGCTTATTTGACACAGGACACGCCTACACCAGCTTGCACATTTGTCTATTTCTATTTTATCCATTGACTGCTATAGAATGTGGCAAATTACATTCGTCCTAAATAATTAATTTTTTTTTTTTCATGCAACTAGTTGTTTCTCTTATATCAAGTATTTGAAGAAGTAAAAATTTTACTTGTAACAAATTTAAAAAGCTGGGAGTTTAACTCTTGAGTTATTTGAAAGAATTATTCTTAAATTTGGTCCTATCACTTTTATTTTAATTTTTTTTAATTGAATCATCAAATATTTTGGTTTCTTTCCGCTACTTTGTGCAATCTAAATGTTTTAAATATCTTATATATGAAAATTTGTAGGATCACACAAAATTGACGAAAATAAAATATAAAAATAGGAGAAAATTAACAGATATGCTGCATATAGTTTAAGAAACAATAGATAAAATTTGTTATGCCACTCTTAGTTAACTTTTTTTTATTTTATGTAAACACATTTAACAAGAGTTTGTTTTTATTCGGTAAAAATCAATAGTACCCAAAAAATTTAAGTAGGCAGCGTATATCACTATATAGGCACTTTAATAAACAGTTGACAAGTGTAAAAAATACAAAATTAAATATACTTTTAACCTATCTTATACTACTTTATATATATAACATGGCTAAAGTAGGTGTTCATTAACCAATCCAAACCGATTCAAACCGCGGTGACCGAACCGAAAAACGGATAACCGAATAAACCGAAAACTGAAAAACCGAAAAATCGAATAAAAACCACAAATTTTAATTGGATTGGATCGGTTTTCGGATTGGTAGATGAAAATCGATCCAATCCAAACCGATCCAATATATTAATTTTCCTCTACCTACTTGAGTCTTTCTTCAATCATAGCCCAAAAATTTCTAAATTCAAGACCCATTAACCCATCAACTAAATCCAAGAAAAAATCTAGTCACATCTCATCAACAAAATTTCATCTATGTAGAGCTTCATATCTTATAGTCTAAAAAAAACTATATTATTTGATGCTTTTGTATTTAAAAAATATATTACAAAGCCAATATACACAAAATATGTTATTTGCACAATAATCATGAAATAAATTTTAGGATTTTCAAAAAACCGAAAACCGATCCAATCCAAACCGAAAAAAATTGGATTGGATCGGATCGGATTTGAAAAAAAATCCAAACCGAATGGATGATTACATGATCAAACCGAATGGATGATTACATGATCAAACCGAAGGGATTGGATCGGATGATTTTTGCTTCCAAAACTGATCCAATCCAGATCGCGAACACCCCTAGCTAAAGTTATATTTACAAAAAATTTGTTTACAAACTACATTATATCTGACCGGTCATACAATAATCAAGAGTGTATGACCAGTCTACTTAGTGTAATTTGTAAATAAAATTTGTAAACGGATCACTCCCTAACATATTGGATATTGATATTTTCACTTTTGACCAAAGAATTTCCATAACATCTAAAACTAATTAACCCCTTAAACACTTGTTACAACTAAGAAGTCTTGCCCTAAGTATGGATTTAAAATTTTATAAACCACTAGGATATGTCTAGTGATAAGAGATTTGGATAGTATGCATGAGGTTATAGGTTCAAACTTCAGTGCCACCATTGTATCAAAATATATATATATATATATATATATATATATATATATATATATATATATATATGGGAATGATCCGTTTATAAATTTTTACAAATTACCCCTTCTCTCGGGAGAAGATAGTATAACTAGTGTTCTCCCGAGAGAAGATAATGTAGTTTGTAAGAGTTTGTAAACAAAAAAGTTTGTAAATATAATCTGTCCCATATATATATATATATATATATATATATATATATATATATATATATATATATATATATTCAAGGCAATATATACCTACCTAGCTAAGAAATTCTCCGATATCTAAATGGGCCTCAATTAGCTTCACAATAACAAAGTTGGCTCGGTGACAATGAATATAACTAGAGAAAAAGAAACAAGTTTGCTCAAGAAGTTAAAAGTTAAAACAGTTCCTACCTACGGTAACTCCAAATCTGCATCACATGTGACCAACAAGTTTCTGTTCACGTCCTTATAATAAACCATTAACTGTTGTTTGGATTTCTTTATATATATAGTTCTCTTCACACACACACACAGAGAGAGAGAGAGAGAGAGAGAGAATTAAAAGAGAGAATGGTTTCCAGGGTTCACAAGAGAACAGCTATGTATAGGAACATACAAAAGCTTCGTTCAATCACTAACTCTCATGCGGTGATTACTCTAAAACATCTCTCTTAATTTTCTCCGTTTTTTGTTATTTCCCCTCATTCTATATTTTCTGCTTCATTTCTTATATATAACAGCCATCATCTTCTCCCTCTTTTTCTCAGGAGTCTTAGTTATCTGATGATTTCTGTTATATTTCATCTCCTTAAGTCAAAACTTCACCACTTAATTAATATTCATATTTGAATGAAACCATTTAACTTGATCACCTCTTTATTCAACATATAGTCAGTGAGATAAATTCTGATAACTTGCCTCGTGCTTATATTTTTTTTTTTATGAATTAATGTTCATATTATAAGATATGATGGATGTTTGGTTTGTTTATGCAGCGGCGTAAAACCTCTGTAATACTGGATGCATCAGAGTACATTCGAGGTTTAAAGCAAAGGCTACAGGAATTGAACCAACTAGCAGTTGACGCAGCCCAAAAATGCATTGACTATGGTCCAATGCCTATGGTATAATTAATATACAAATCTGATGCCAATAAGTAATAACTAAACTGATATATTTCAATTGAAAGGAATTTTTTGTCTTATATATTCCTGTCCACATAGGGGGCGAACTGGAGCAGTGGTAAAACTGTTCCTTCATGACTGAAAGGTCAAAAGTTCGAATCCAGAAAACAGCCTCTTTGCAATTATGCAAGGGTAAGGCTGCGTACAAGGATTTCCTCCACCCCACACTCGCTAGTCGAGTTTAACGGGGAGTGGTTTTATATATTCCTGTCCACATTTTTTTGTGTAATTACTTTGTGCTTGTTAATGTTTTTGAAGCTTAAAGTTGAACCACAAGAGGAGGGCTTTATGATCAAGGTGTTGAGTCAAAGGAGTTGCCAAGGGTTGCTGGTATTCATATTAGAAGCCTTTGAAGGGCTTGGTCTTGAGGTGGTTCAAGCTAGTGTTTCTTGTGTGGAAAACTTCTGTTTTGAAGCAGTTGGAATCAAAGTAATGATGTGAAATAGACACACACACACACACACAAATTAACATACATTTAAAACAGAATAAAATGCATATGTAGAGCTCTTTCTTTATAATTGTCTATAATTATATGACATGAAAATCACTACTAGTGAACTCAATTTATTGGGTGGAGCCACTGAAACAATGAATTGTTTGTTGATGTTCCAGGAGAACAATCAAGATACTAGTCATATGGAAGCCCGAGTAGTTGAGCAAGTAGTGTCTCAAGCTATTCAAAAATGGAGGGAAGTTACAAAGCAATATTGATCCAGGAATGACCTTGTCCTAATAAGAACCACTTTTCTTTTCTATTCTATTCTTTTCTTTTTGGAGTTTGCTTCCTGTTAATTTTATTGTTTCATCTTTTAAATGGGTCGGACTATTTGCCTTCGTAGTCCAATCTTCCGATGAATTTCTGTGGTATATATATATCGTATGATAATGGTCAATCTCTGGAAAATTATCAAATACAATAAAATTAATGATCATAAAAAGCTTTGGATATGTATGTTAGTAGAGATATAATCCTACTTTTAATCCCGCTTAAGTTTTGGGTTAATAAATGAGAATGGGGATATGTAATTTCAGAACAAATAACTCGCAATCCATTATGGTAACATCTCATACGAGGGAATTATTGAATTATTTTAACATTATTCAGTTATATGTTCATATCATGAGTGAAACTAGATAAAATGAATGGCTAGTGGTTACGCCCCTGCCAATAGCGAGGCACCAAGTTGACACAAGGATCCGCTTACTAAATTCTTTATAAACTTAATTAATGCCCCGGTTGATTGTACTATTTTTGAAAAAACAAAATAAACTAAAAAACAAGTTAAAAATTCTATGCTTTTTTAAAAATAAAAAATAAAAAAATATTTTAGTGTTTTTATCAGAAGTTAAAGTAGTAATTTTACTAGTTTCGAATTCGAGTTTTGTGAATGGAAGATGAGTAAATATATCATATGACCTATTAGAAAAATATAACTCAGTACTTAGAAAATATGTCATAAGATTTATTTTTACAAGCCGTGGGTTATAAATTTATAGGCCGGCTTATATTATATTATTTATTTTTAATTAAAATAAAATAAAATAAATATTTGAATATTTTTAATTAATAAAATAATAATATTATTTTTATTTATTTATTTAATTCTTAATAGGTATTAAAAGATTGATAAATTTAAATAAACTAATAAGTCGAGGCCAGAACTTTTGATTTTTTGATATAGAGAAGGAGCCGCTTATAAAAAAAAATTATAAATTTTTATAAATTACACTATGTATTCTCGAAAATACATAGTGTAACCTAGTGTACTTCTGGGAGTACATAGTGTAGTTCGTAAACAAAAAATTTATAAATATAACCCTTCCCTTTTAACATAGGTGAGACAAAATCTATAATTTAGCTTATACCATATTAACAAACCAAATCAAGTCAAACTCAAAATATTTTATATAAAATTAACCTATTTATATCAACACTCAATCTGAGCCAATCAATTTACACACATAAACTCTTGGTAGAGTTACTAGCCCCTATATAGGTCCAGTTGAATTGAAACCTAATTGATCGAGTAATTAAGGAATTGATAGAGAAATAAAATAATTCTTAAAAAGCTCTTAAAAATTATATTATAATTGTTTGTTTCCAACGTTAAAACAAAAGCACCTTTAATATACACGACGATTAGCGGATCGTAAACAAATATTTTGGGTTCGCCACATAACATTTTGATAATATTTGAGCTGGTGGTAGTATGTAATTTCTTAAGTTCTTCTATAGAGTTTTCAAGATTTTTTAAGGCCATGGCTCCTCTAACCAACTCAAAGATCCACCAATAATAATATGCAAGTTGTACAAACTAAACCCAAAAATACTTGACGCGCCATTTTTGTTTTTAATATAAAGTTGTTGTCTTGCACATTAACATTATGATACATTGTTTATACAATTTATATAAATTAATTTGGAAAAGTTGTGTATCATTTTAAATGATATACAAAGAGTTATAAATTCCACTAAAAAAAAAAATAAAGACAAAAAAAATATATAAGGTATAACTCACACCTCTTTATGTCTATAAAATAACACTTGTATCATTTAAAATGAAACACATTTTTCCCTTAATCACATCGCAAAAGAAGTGTATACAGAAACCTCCCATAATATTTCTACAAAAAAAAAAAAAAACCTCGCATAATATTTAAGACTTTTTTGGGTGTCCAAAGACTATGTAATTGACCCCATTATTAGTCATTAAATGACTTTTAGGTTGTCCAACAATGACACTACTAATACTACTCTTGGGAAAAACAAGCTTTACATCCAGACCTTCAGTTGTGGCTCATAACAGAAACTACTAACAAACTCCTAACTTCCAATAGACGTAACTCGTAACAAATTTTTTTTATACATTGAGGAATTGAATATACCCCTATTACATAATTACCTACATCACTCACCACTAAGTGAACCCGAGAATTTGACTTCGCGTGAAGTGGAACAAAAAGCTGCAAAATTAACTTATTTTTTGCACGTATCTATTGAAGTATATATTTTGAAAAAAAAAAACGCTTTTTTAGGGAAAAACATTTTTTTGAATTTTTTTTTTAAATTTAAAAAATGGGCATTCTTTTATCCATAGAGTGCATTATACCACTTGAATACAATAGAATTCAGAAATGCAGATCGATTTCCATTCCATTAATTAGTATAATTCGTACTAATTCACATATTTAAAAAAAATGAGAATCAGGCCTAAAAAACAATTCATACAGGTTGTGATCCCTTAACTTAATTAGTAGCACCCCTTCCACAAATTATGAGTGAAATAGAAAATGTAAAAAGTACCATTAAAGCAGCCCAAACAAGACTTATTAGATCCGCGGCTTCCGAATAACTTGTTCGTTATAAGCTGTTTTTTTTTTTTTTTTGTGTGGTGAATTGTTATAAGCTGTTGTTACTCCCTCCTTACTTGTTTCTGAGTATAAATAACACACAGTCTCTCAATTCTTCGTCTCCTGCATTTGCAAGTCTCGGGGTTACTTTTAAAGTTCGAGTCAGGTGGTGGTGTTAGATAGATGTTAAGGGTGAATCCCTTACGAAGAGAAAGGAAAGGAAAAACGAAGAGAAAGAAATCTGATATTATTCAAGATGATTCTGCAAAGTATCTCTTTACATGTATTTATACAATTCAAGTATTAACCAACTAATGTAACCAACTAATGCTATATGTCCATACACGTGTAAGCCACTGTTATTCTAATGCTTCCTAAGCTAACACGCCCTCAAACAACTGATACGTGTCTAAACTACTAACCACTAAGCCACATAATCAGCTAGAAGAACCGAATCCCTTCTCTCACGGGTTGATCTCCTTCGACTTGTAACATTCCCCTGCTCTTCACAATTGACCTTGTCCTCAAGGTCAAGATTAGGATAGCAACGTTGCAAATCAGCTTCTTTCTCCCCGGTGGCATCTTCAGGAACTGAGTGAGACCATTGAATTAAGAATTCACGAACTTGCTGGTTGTGAGAAGATACAACCCGTTCACTTAAGACAGCCAAAGGAACCTGTACTGGCTTGTTGTCAACAGCGAAGGGAGGCAGAGGATGGGGGGTCACGAGCTGAGTTCCTACACAAGGCTTCAACTGTGAAACATGGAAAACAGGATGAATTTGACATCCTTGTGGCAGTTTCACTTCATATGCAGCAGCCCCAATAAACGGGATACTTCAAATGGACCAAAAAAACGCTTACTGAGCTTATGATTAGCTCTACATTCCGCAGTGACTTGACGATAAGGTTGTAAGCGGACCCATACCTGATCTCCCATTTGAAAAGATCTCTCCTTGTGGTGTTTGTCATACTGTATCTTCATCCAGTTTTGTGCTCTTTGTAAATGTAATTTCAGATGCTTCATTATGTCATTGCGTTGCTGTAACATAGTATCAATGACTTCTATTTTTATGAGTCCCTTTGGATAAAAAGAAATCAATGTTGGTGGCTTTCCAAATACTGCTTGATACGGTGTCATTTCTATTGCAGAGTGAGTAGCTAAATTATAGTGGTATTGAGCCCAAGGCAAGAATTGAGACCATAATTGTGGTTGTTCAAAATAAAACGAGCGAAGATATTGTTCCAAATATCTATTGGTCACTTCGGTTTGTCCATCTAATTGTGGATGGTAGGAAGAAGTAGTCCTCAATGTGGTGGATTTTGCTTGGTCACTTCGGTTTGACCTTGAGGTCACCACCCCAAAAGCTAGCTCAAATGGTGGGAGTGTCCAAGACCTTTTAAACCCCACATTAGTTGTATAGGCAACCAATGTGGGACTTGTAACATTGTCACCCTCTTTAAGGGCCGACGTCCTCGGCGGCTTTCACTCTATCGACACTGACCCGACGGTAGCCCTTTCCCCCCTAGGCGGCTTCACTCACCTATCAGTATTCAATGTCCAACGGCACCTTAATCCAGCCTATAGGTAGCCCTTTCCGTGGCCTCAACTCTCAATGAAAGCACCAATGTTAAGGGTGAAACTCTTAAGAAGAGAAAGGAAAGGAAAAACGAAGAGAAAGAACTCTATATTATTCAAGATGATTTTGCAAAGTATCTCTTTACATGTATTTATACAATTCAAGTATTAACCAACTAATGTAACCAACTAATGTTATCTGTCTATACACGTGTAAGCCACTGCTATTCTAATGCTTCCTAAGCTAACACGTCCTCAAACAACTGATACGTGTCTAAACTACTAACCACTAAGCCACATAATCAGCTAGAAGAACCGAATCCCTTCTCTCATGGGTTGATCTCCTTCGACTTGTAACAATAGATTAAGTAGGTGTTGGGGTATACATCAATTTTTAATTATATAGAAGTACTAGACCTATCATTCTAATATTTAGAGCTTGGTATATAAGGTTAGAGTTCTCTGCTCTTTCCCTGGAGTCTCTCAGTTCATGCCCTAATTTGAAGAAAAAAGTTAAGAGGGTTTTTTCTCTGAAAAAAAAAATTAAGAAAAAAGGGAGGTTACCCATTAACGATATGAGACATCGCTATAAGAAATATGATTATTTGTGACAAAAGTTGAGTGTCGAATATATAATTTGTCACTAATGATATATTATTTGTGACTAAATTTTATTTTGTTACTATTATTATTTTTAATTGTGACAAAATGATAAATTGTCATCATAATTTCTGACAAATATATATCTATCACAAATAATTCATCACTAATATAAAATTTTA